CCGGCTTGATTATTTTGATGGGAAAACTCAGCTGATTATTTTGATGAATTCTATTATTTCTTTCATTTTCGATTGTTGGGTACTTCATCTTCTTGGGTGACTTGATTTCAGGCCGAGTGGCAAAATAACCCCTAACTTTCTTATGGCTGGACCAATGGCCGCCTAGTGCTTGATGTGAGGTAAATACTTTTTGTCAATTCTTGCATTCAAAAAGTGGACGCGTATTTGGAAGGGATTGTGTTGAGACTTGGGGTTCTGGGCCTTCTGGCTGAGGCGAAGTAGGTGGGAGGATAGCATAATCAACTTTCCTCCTTTTAGAAGTAGAGCATTCCTCAGTACCTGTGATGCGGGAACAGAAGTAGAGCATTCCACTGCATCTGTGTTGCAAAGTACAGGGTTGGCACAGGCAGTGGAGAGCCAGACAAGATAATTAGCGACATGCTCTTCTTCGGTAAGCACAAGAGGTGGAGTAGGAAATCTAGATCGGGGTTGTGAAGGCGAAAAAAGGCCATTTAAGTTATCATACTCGCCATCGTCTCCACCAGCACCAATGAGACCGCGACATTAATGCTTAGACAATGATTTCAACGAACAAAATTCTTCACAACAGTTTTGACAAATGTGACTAGTAAGGAGACTTTTGCCGTCAGAGGACTTCCCTTCAGCTCCTGTGGTGGATGGAACTTCGTTCGGGTGGAGGATGTGTTGAATATTGAACATCCTGTGGACCTGCATATGCCCGCCCAACGCTCTCCCACTACTTAATCTCTTATCGCATAATCGACAATGGTACTTCTCTTCCTCCTTCTCTAAAAACTTCTGCTTCTTGAGTATCGGCATTGCTCTTGCAAACCAGACGTGAAAAACAAGACTAGGACAAGCAAATATATAGAGAAAAGTTCAAGCAAATTTGTGGGTGTAATTCTTATTTATTTATTTATTTAAATTTTTATTTGAGGTTTTTGGTTCAAAGAAATGCTTAGCCTATAAATAGGGTTTAGTTACAAATGTGGGGTTGCAATTCAAAGAAGTTTTCTTAGATAAAAAATAGAACTCACACCACATGCCTTGGTTCGTTGGTTGAGAGTTTTGATTAACAACCAATAGTTTTCAGTATAAATCTTTTATTTGTGTTGTGCGTATGAATTTGCCTTAATTGATCTAAATATTTCAAAAAAAACTTTCGAAGAGGAACTATGATGTTGAATTAATTTTCTAGTTAGAATTAAACTAAAATTACATTAATTAAAATTATTAATATAAAACTAATTTTCAATAGCTCTATTTGTTTTAAAAAGTTCATGATTAATTTATAACTTTATGGAATTTTTTTAGCCGAGGATGCATTTCAACAAATTTTATGAGCTAAATAAGGAAAGGAGGACAAAGTCAATGTTCCTTGATCTCTCACCCTTGATCTCTCACCTATTTACGGCTCATGCCACTCCAAAAATCTATAAATAGACCTCTCATTCCTCTTGAAAAGGGAACGAAGCAAGAAGAGAAGAAAGAGAAGGCGGAAACTCCTCCTCGACCACCGCTAGACTTCCGCCGGACTACCACTTGAGGCCCTCACCTCCGTCGGACCATGATATTTTGAAACCCTGTCTCCTGCCGACTACGGTCCTTCCAACCTCCATCGCCTACTATGGTCCTTCTGACCTACAACACCAGAAATTGGTCTTTATGAACCCGGTCTCCCACCAACTACTGTATTTAGGACCCCTATCTCCTGCCGACTACGGTCCTTCTGACCTCTATCGCCTACTATAGTCCTTTAGACCTACATTGCCAGACAATGGTCTTTCTGACCCCTGTCTCCTGCCGACTACGGTCCTTTCAACCTCCGTCACCAACAATGGTCCTTCCGACCTACATCGTAAGACAACGGTCTTTCTGAACTCTGTCTCCTGCCACCTACGGTCCTTCCGACCTTCGTCGCCTACTATGGTCCTTTCGACCTACATCGTCAGACAACGGTCTTTCTGACCCCAGTCTCCTACCAAATATTGTCTTTCCAGCCTCCATCGCCTACTATGGTCATTCCAACCTACATCATCAGACAATGATCTTTCTGACCCCGGTCTCCTGCTAACTACGGACTTTCGGACCTCTGTCACCTACTATGGTCCTTCAGACCTCCATCACCAGACAATAGTCTTTCCGACCTCTATCCTATCAACTATTGTCATGCCGATGTAAAAAAGTCAAACAAAATATTTCTACAAGATAAAATAAAGAAATAGGTGAATTTTCAACCATCCCTCTTGATATATCAACAAAAAAATATCTTGATCGGGCACAAATCTCGAGGCAAAAATCAAGCCAGAAACTTCAAAAATTAAATTCGGGATCACCTGAAGTTTGAATTCAGCAAACTTAAATACGAACCCAACGACACCAAATTCGACTCAATCCGAGCCCAAATGAGTTCAAATCAAGGACCCGAAGCGCTGTTGAAAAGTTTGTACCACAATTTGTGTTACCAAATGGTCTCCAAACTTAACGAGCTTATAGTTGAAACGAGCGGCTCGACGAGATGAATCCAACGACCCAAGATCGTTGAATTTCAAAGTCATTTAGACCTTCAAATATCTGATAAATGGTCCATGTTTGAAGGATTCAATATCAGCCGTGCATCCGAACAACTCCATATTTGCCCATGATCTCTCATCTATTTATGGGCCAAGCCACTCCATAAAATCTATAAATAGACCACTCATTTATTTTGAGGGGTGAAGGGAGCAAGAAGAGAAGAAGAAAAAAGAAAAAGGGAGAGAAGGAAGAATCTCCTCCTCGACCACCGTTGGACTTCTGTCGGACCACCACTTGAGGCCCTTACCGCCGCCGGACCACAACCTGACGTCATTGCTCCGCCGGACCACCACTTGAGGCCCTCACCACGTAAAAACTTTGGTGTCTCTTATGAACGTTACACCCTCTCTCTTATCTGATTGTGTACTGGATCTTCATACAATACTAAGACATTAAACAATATATTTTTATACCGCCGTGAATATTCCGTGACGCAACACCTCTTAAATTTTTAACTAGTATAAACACCACACAAGTAAATATTCTGAAATTATAATTTGGTGTATCAAGAAATTAATTAAAATAACGCCATCTTGCAATATTCCAATTGATTCAATATATAAGAAAAAAATAATTAATCACAAATATAAATTATCATAGCCATCCCAAAGTAATATATATGAAATTGATTTAATGAATAAAGGTGGCTTTTTTCATAATTATGGTTAAGGATATCTTACCATAAATATGATAATAATGATTTTACAGTTATTTATGATTTTTTTATTGGGGTATAATTAATTAATTTTTTATCATATTTATCGCAAATTAAATTTAGTGATATAACTAAACTTTGAAGTTAAACGGAAAAAAAATAATCTCAAAATTTATAGGCATGCATAAAAATATCATAAGCTTACATATTTACAAAAGAATTTATAAATAGAATTATCATAATCTTTATAAAAAAAAAAAAATTATCTTTTGAAAAACGCCAGTGTCACCCTTAGGATCCTTTAAGGATGAATACAACACAATTTTTTATAAAGGTAATTATAAAGCTACTATGAAGAAAGTAAATTTTTTAAAATTTGTTGAAGAAAGCAATTTCGTGATGCAAAAATATAATAACAGTTATGAAAAGCTATGGTAAAATTGAAACTACGATTATGGTCAGAAGAACAAAGCAACTAATATATTGTGCAAACAAAGCCTAAGATGATTTTTTTACTATTTTATGAAACTGCTTTAGAGAAAGTGACTTTTAATATATATATATTAGAATAATAGATGCAACATGAAGTAGAATATAATATGTAGACACATAAACGTTTGAAACTGAGAAAAAATATATAATTCTGAAACGTTCAAAAATGTGAAGCCTTGTTAATAAGGAAATATATATCCATCTTTTTTCATTACATGATAAAATAAATTTAGAAGTACAAATGCCGATCGCATGGGCGCAAAATTAAACAACAAAAAAAACAGAATTGGCATATGATTTAGGTTAATCAGCTTTAGTCTCCTAATTAGAAATGGATTCTCGCTCAATCTGCAACCATGTGGAGCCAACATCTCTCTCATTTATCTCAAGGAGATCACAAGATCATTTAATCTCACCTCCCTACTCTCAACCTCCTCTATATTTACATTCAATGCATTCTCGCTTGCGCTTTCTCGTCCTGGTTGTACATACAGTGTAGTGCTGGGCATATCAAGACACAACCTGACTTTGGGAAAATCATCCATTGGTACTGGCATGTTCAAGCCTAGAGTAGAAATTAAAGATCTGAACCTCAGCGTGTGGGGATATCTACAATTAAATATACTGCTACTATTTCCTGCTTGCAGCTCAGTGGCAACAACGCTTATGAATGCCTGATTGGTGGTGCCACACGAACTTGATGCCCTCCAATGATAGCGCTTGTGCCCACCAAGTGCCTGGCCTGATGGAAACTGCCATTTACAAATTGAGCATTCATGTACTTTTGGCCTTTTCCTTGGCAATGGCAACTGTGATGAGGTACCTTCAAACGGAACAATTGCTATTTCCATTTTTTTGGAGGAAGGCCCGGCTTGATTATTTCGATGGGAAAACTCGGCTTGATTATTTTGATGAATTCTATTGTTGCTTTCATTTTCGATTGTTGTGTACTTCATCTTCTTGGGTGAACTAATTTTAGGCTGAGTGGCAAAACAACCCCTAACTTTCATATGGCTAGACCGATGGCTGCCTAGTGCTTGATGTGAGGTAAATACTTTTTGGCAATTCTTGCATTCAAAAAGTTGACGCGCATTTGGAAGGGTTTGTGTTAAGACTTGGGGTTCTAGGCCTTCTGGCTGAAGCAAAGTAGGTGGGAGGACAACATAATCAACTTTCCTCCTTTAAGAAATAGAGCATTCCTCAGTACCTGTGATGCGGAGAAAAGAAGTAGAGCATTCCGCTGCATCTGTGTTGCGGACTACAGGGTTTGCACGGACAGTGGAGAGCCAAACAAGACAATTAGTGACATGCTCTTCTTCGGTAAGCACAAGAGGTGGAGTAGGAGTTCTAGATCAGGTAAATGAAGGGTAAAAAGGCCATTTGAGATGTCATTCTCTCCATCGTCCCCGCCAGCACCAATGTGACCGCGAAAACAATGCTTAGACAATGATTTCAATGAACAGAATTCTTCGCAACAGTTTTGACAAATGTGACTAGTAAGGTGACGGTTGTCGTCTGAGGACTCCCCTTCAGTTCCTGTGGTGGATGAACCTTCATTCTGGTGGAGGATGTGTTGAATATTGAACATCTCGTGGACCCGCATATGCCCGCCCAACGCTCTCCCACTACTGAATCTCTTATCGCATAATCGACAATAGTACTTCTCTTCCTCTTGCTCTAAAAGCTTCTTCTTCTTGAGTATCACCATTGTTCTTGCAAACCAGACATGAATAACAAGACTCAGATAAACAAATATATAGAGAAAAGTTGAAGCAAATTTGTGGGTGTGATTATTATTTATTTATTTATTTAAATTTTTATTTGCGGTTGTAGTTCAAAGAAATGCTTACCCTATAAATAGGGTTTAGTTACAATAGTGGGGTTGTAATTCAAAGAAGGTTTCTTAGATAAAAAATAGAACTCACACTGCACGCCTTGGTTCGTTGGTTGAGAGTTTTGATTAACAACCAACAGTTTTCGGTATAAATCTTTTATTTGTGTTGTGCGTATGAATTTGTCTTAATTGATCTAAATATTTCAACAACAAAAATTCGAAGAGGAACTATGATGTTGAATTATTTTTTTACTTATAATTAAACGAAAATTACATTAATTAAAATTATTAATATAAAACTAATTTTCAATAGCTCTATTTGTTTTAAAAAGTTCATGATTAATTTATAACTTTCTAGAACTGTTTTAGCCGAGGATGCATTTCAACGAATTTTATGAGCTAAATAAGGAAAGGAGGACAAATTCAATGTTCTAAATTTTTGTAAGGTTGGTTATATTTTAACCTCTTCTTTTTTTTTTCTTTATTTGTCAGGGAATTTAAGCCTAAATGAGATGGAAAGAATTTCTTCTGTCGACCACTTGTCCGCAGACCCGATCTTTAACCTCATCTTTTAGTCATCAAGTTAATTACTTTGTTATAAAAATGATTTGCCTTCAAAATATGATAAAAAAGATATTTAATATTGATACGTCATCAAAAATTATCTTGATCGAGCAGCACGAATCTTGATGCAAAATCAGGCTGGAAACTTCCAAAATTAAAATTAAGGCCATCTGAACTCCGATTTCAGCAAACTTAAAGTCGAACTGAACATCTCAGAAATACAAACCCAACGACACAAAATTCAACTCGATCCGAGTCCAAATGGGTCCAAATCAAGGGTCTGAAGCACTATTGGAGGGTTTGAACCACAATTTGGATTACCAACGATTTCCAAACATGATGTGCTCATAGTCAACTCGAGCAGCTCTTCGAGATGAATCCAACGAGCTGAATATCGCTGAATTCCAACATCAATAAGAACTTCAAATGTCTGACGAACGGTACATGATCAAAAAGGATTTAATATCGGCCGTCCATCCAACCACTTCCCTCTCACCTATTTACGGCTCATGCTACTCCAGAATTCTTTAAATAGACCCCTCATTCATCTTGAAAAGGGAACGAAGCAAAAATAGAAGAAGGAAGAAAAGAAGGAAGAGGAGGAAGCTCCTCCTAGACCACTACTGGACTTCCGTCGGACAACCACTTGAGCCCGTCACCTCTGTCGGACCACGATCTTTCGAACCCCTGTCTCCTACCGACTATGGTCTTTCTGACCTCCTTCACCTACTATGATCCTTCCGACCTACATCGCCAGACAACGATCTTTATAACCCCGGTCTCCTACCAACTACGGTCTTTCGGACCCCTGTCTCCTGCCTACTCCGGTCCTTCTGACCTCTGTTGCCTACTATGATCCTTTCGACCTACATCACCAGACAATGATCTTTCTGACCCCTGTGTCCTGCCGACTACAATCCTTCTGACCTCCGTCTCCTACCAGGGTCCTTTCGACCTACATTGCAAGATAATGGTCTTTCTTAGCCCTGTCTCCTGCCGCCTACAGTCCTTCCGACCTCTGTCACCTACTATGGTTCTTCCAACCTACATTGCCAGATAATGATCTTTCTGACGCTTGTCTCCAATCGAATATAGTCTTTTCAACCTCCGTCCCCTACTATGGTCTTTGTAATCTACATCGCCAGACAACGATCTTTCTGACCTCGATCTCATGCCAACTACGATCTTTCGAACACCTGTCTCCTGCCAACTACGGTCTTTCTGACCTCCATCTCCTACTATGGTCCTTTCGACCTCCATCACCAGACAATGGTCTTTTCAACCTCTATCCTATTGACTATGGTCATGCCAACTAAACAAACATGTCTTTATTGTAACTCCCACCATGTAATGCGTTCTATATGAGGTATATTAATACCATCAAGCCAATGCCTTCTCCCATGGAAGGGCCTCGTTTATAATCGACTGCAAATACTAGTGGATTCATTCAAACTAGGCCAGACCCCGTGGTTTTTCCCACTTTTTTAGAGGTTTCCATGTAAAAACTATGGTGTCTCTTATAAACACTACACCCTCTCTCTTAAATTAATTATTTATTTTTATATCAAACCCTAAATCCTAAACGTAGATGAAAAATATGACATAAAATTATTTAATATATTATAAAATGTTAAAGAATTACAACTGGACAAGTATGAAGTTAGTTTATGTATTACCTCTTCCTTCCTCTTTTTCATCTGTTCTCTTCTCCGAGGAAGTTTCCATTGTGCAGGCATAAATGGCCATCAAAATCGAGCCTTCTTTGGTGGTTCAGTTTATTCTTAATTCATTGGGAAGGTAATTAATCTCTGATGACTTATGTGGGTCTCTAAAAGAATTCTTCTAGCGGGTTTAAATGAAAGAGTATGATCAGATAATCCCGTAGGATGAAACAGACGTAGACTTTTACACTTTACACAAGCAAGTCAATAGAAGAGCAAATGAGATCATATATATGATTAACCATGGAGGATAGTAGTTTTCACTTACACACCTTAAATGGTAATAATATATATAACCTAATCAAAGTTACGAAATTTTCCCCATTCAATAAATCAACTCGAATGAGATTTATTTGATGTGGGGATCAGTTTCTCATGGGCGTAAGCCTCTGTGGTTAATTACATCTTAGTCCTAGCCTAAGAAAACTTTCGATTAAGGATGTTATATTATTCACTTCCGGATTTGGTGCACATAAGGGGTTCCT